GGCCAACATGGTGAAACCCCATATCTACTAAAAATACAAAAATTAGCCAGATGTAGTGGAGCACAACTATAATCCCAGGTACTTGGGAGGCTGAGGTTGGAGAATCGCTTGAATCCAGGAGGTGGAGTTTGCAATGAGCCAAGATCGTGCCACTGTGCTTCAGCCTGAAAGTCAGAGTCTCAAAAAAAAAAAAAAAAAAAGCCAAGTGCAAGCAAATAAAGAGATGTCAATTGAAATTTATATTTTTGCTGGAAATTCTGAACATACTCGGGACCTCAATATAATTTACAATTTTCTCTTTTTAAAGCATGTATCCTAAGTAAATTGTAAATATTTGGTTGCTCAGTTCTAAGAACAGGCAAGAAATTCTATCAACAAGGACAATATAAAGCTACCACAAGACCCATTTAAGCAGATCATCCCTCAAAATAAAGGTTGGAGAAAGGTATCCAAATAGCTCACTGTACTTTTTCATTGTTTTTATCATGCCACTTTCTAGTTACTGAAGGTATAGTGTAATAGTAGGTTTGGAGGTGTGGAAATGGGTCCAGTGAGATATTGCACAGCTAAATTTTAGCGAGGTTGCATTAAAATCATCCCAATACCCCAGCACATATTCCTATCTTTTAGTTTTGTTTTCCATAGTATATCCAGTAAATAAGTGAAACATCTGGTTTCATGATCTACCAAAAAGTAAGTCATTTGTTTCTCCCATTTTTTTTTTCAGTTTGAAACAGTACTTCAGTTGAAATCTTTGTGTTGTCTTTGAAATTTATAAATGACTGCCACTTTCTTGTTACATAAGAGCAGCCCTTGTTTTTGTAAACTGGCCTTAAGTTTAATTTTATAGTTTAATTTCATACCTTCCCATTGTCCCCTAAACATACACACACACAGAGAAACACACACTCACACACATATATATAAACTGGCAACCTAAATTTTTTGGCAATCAACTACACTTTATGAAAAATGTTATGACAAAGGACATTTCTTTTTCCTTTCATAATTTGATATCATGAAAATGAGATCATTTTTTATGTATTTAAAGTAATATTACAAGTATTTGAGTTCCATACAGTGGTATTAGTTAGGAATATGAAACAGATACAGAAACAGGGTTATTCTTTTGGAATTATATCTGCAGAAGAATTAAAATCACCTTTCAAGGATTTGAGTTATTTGATTAAAATATTTGTAATTTTTGTTGAAAATATTTGCCTATGTTGTTCCCTACAGGTTTTTCCCAAACAGAAGTAACTAAATATGTATCTTAATTAAAAATAAATTTTAGTTGTTTGTTTTTTCAGAAATAAAAAACAAAATTGGAGGAGGAATCTCGTGTCTTATTTTATTTGGCTGCTAGAATGAACTGGAGTTGTAGAATGCCTTTCCATCTATTTGAATGTTATGTGTTTAAAAGTGATTCTTTCATCTGCGTTTTTCTTCTTTTCTTCATTGCAGTTACTATTTGGGAATAAAAAAAATGTTCGAAATAGAAGTTTACAATTTTATTCCTATTTGTGGTTTCATTTTAGACAGTTTAAAACTACTTTGTAAGCCCTGAAAATCAGTATATTTTTCAGAAATTATTTGCTAAATCATAATAAATTAGCAGTGTTTCTGCAGGGGCAAACCTCAGGTCAGCACGTACCTGCTGCAGAGATTAAGTACTTTATGCAAACCCTTACAGATACTTGCTAAGTTTTCATAATGTTTGAGAAACCAGAAGTATGGAGATTACAAGCAAACATTTTAGTAGCTCTAATGCTTACTTGCAGTTGGACGTTTGGCCCTTAAAATATTTAGATGAAAATATAAATTGCATGGCCAGCAGAATGCATTATTTTAAAATTGTGTACTGTTTAACTACTTTCTCTTTCTCCTTTTTGTTCTCTCTCTCTGGTAAAAAGATTAACCTCTACTAGTGATGACCAAACCCGGTAAAAATTATAAAGTGGGAAATATTGGGTTATAGGATCCTTACATCTTTTCTCTCTTTTAATGATAATTCCACTCTGTTCTTTTGTTTTTCAGCATTTTTTCCTTGGGCAGTAGTATTTTTTTTTTTCTTTTTTCTTTTGAGACAGTCTCACTCTGTGGCCCAGGCTGGAGTGCAGTAGTATGATAATTGGCTCACTGCAACCTCCGCCTCCCAGGTTCAAGTGATTCTCCCACCTCAGCCTCCTAAGTAGCTGGGATTACAGGTGCATACCACCACACTTGGCTAATTTTTGTTTTTTAGTAGAGACTGGGTTTCACCATGTTGGCCAGGCTGGTCTCGAACTCTGGACCTCAGGTAATCTGCCTGCCTTGGCAGGCATTAAGTATTCTTAACTCCAGTTTTCCCCCCTCTTCAGGCTTTCTTGAGCAAATTTCCACACCTTTTTATTCTCTCCGATCTTCTTTCTCTGCACCATCTCCATTATTTTGCTTTTACATTTGCTAGAACTCTTCTCTGAAATAATTTCATGAAGAAATCTGCTTACAATGTTTTAAAATGTCATCCTGAATAACATATTAATCATACCATTATGACATACAATGAAATAAATGCTGTGCATTAATAAACTGGAGTTTTAGTATGCTTAACCATTGAAAATATTGTGATTACTGTGTTCCCCAAATTAATTAAAAATATAATTTTATTTTTTGAAATAATACAGAACTTATATGCATGCTTAAATTAAAATTATTTCTCTGGAATGTTCTGACTGACATTTAGGTAAGTTAATTTTCCGGGTTGAATTTTTGGGTTAGTTGGTTGTTCACAGGCTTGGCTGCTGTACTAAATTAGCTTGGCTTGCTACCGACCCAATGCTAAGCAGTTTACACATATTCCAACCTTGCAACAATCCTGTGAAGTAAGATTATCAGCCTTAGATTACAGATGCAGAAACTGCCTTGCAAAACACTTAATTAACTTTCCTTGTTTTCCCACTGAATAAGTGGCAGTACCATAATAAGATTCAACCTGAGACTTCATGGCTCGTGATTTTAAGCTTTTCATGTGCTTAATGATCAATTACCAGGCTCCTGGTGTCTTAATTTAAAGGCTAACAGTTTATCCTTAGGTTCTGACTTGCATTTCACACTATTTATACTCACCTGTCTGGCTGGCTCCAATACAGTCTTCCAGTTCTACTGACCTTGCTTGCTCTGCCTGTACACGAAACGCTCTCCAAACAAAACCACCTGCCTTTGCTGGATTGTATCTACACTTACGCTCTCCCTTTGGCCTAAAATGGAGCTTACAGTAACAATCTATTGTATAAAATTATGTTCAGAAGAAAAAATTATATACTGATGGGTCTGGAGAAAGTGGTTTCAGCTGGCAATATGAGGGTCTAACTTTGCCTCATACAATCTTGTAATCAGTTCTTTGTTTTTAAGCTCTAAACTTCATACTTCATTCTGAACCTTCAGAGGAACCCAGCACCTCCAAAACTTGCAACATTCCTGATTCCTAAGGAGAAAATCCATTTTTTTTCCTCCAGAGCTCCTAGTCCCACTTTCAAGTCATATTCCACTGATTTTTTTCTTTTTATTCTTTCATTTTGTTTCTTCTCTTCTCCTGTTTTCTTTATCCTTGTAGGTTTTTACCACCACCACAGTCCTCTTTGATTCTCTTTCAGTGGAGTTTCTTTAAGGAGAAGAATGGATGTGGCTATTCAATTTGTCATATTTTATTGGAATTCTAAAATCTTTTTTAAAAAGAAGATAATCAGTGTGGTATAAATTGTGGACTTTGGAGTCAGATTCCCCTTCTTGTTCAAGTCATGGTACAGAGATAAAATGATCATATTTGTACAGTATGCTGGAGTAAGTGACAGGCCTAGAGTGGGTTTTCCCCTACCCCTCCATCTTGAGGTGTCAGTAAATTGTATTACAGCACATCTTAATTCAAAAAATCTGGGCTTTGAGGTTCTGCGCATCCATGAAGTTTGAATCCTGACTGTTTCACTTGCTAGCTGTGTGGCCTTGGGCAAGTCATCTATCTCTATACTAGCTCCATCTGTAAATTAGGGATTATGGTTCCCACTTGTTAGTACTCTTACGAATATCACAGGAACTAATATTTGTTTAAAGTGCCCAGCACAATGTGAGCACGAACTAGGTGCCAAAAACGAAATCTCCAGTTCTGGAGAGGACCAAGAGGTTAAATGGCTTTGTAACTTTCTCTGGATTTAAGTGGTATCTGTGTCTTTGGCCATTAGACATTATTTGATTTGAGACCTTTGGAAGGAATAAAGTAGACTGCAGGTTTCAGGGAAAAGTCTAGTGTCTTGCCTCTCAGTGAAAAGGGAGCTGGTTATTTAAATAAATCTCTGTTTTGTATTAGACTTACCCTGTTCTGTTTAAACATTATCTTTTCTCCACATTAGTCTTTTCCTACAGAATCATTTGTTTACAGCTTCTCAAGTTACGATCTTTCCCAAGGTCAGGGGCATGCCACTATTTCTCACCTCAGATTTGGAAATACATATCTTTACGTTTAAAACCGCAAATACCGTCACACCAAGACAGAATGTGCTTGCCATAATATTAAGGCAAAAGATCGTATCTGAATCTCACTAAAGCATGAATAATAGCGGAGCATGAAGAATGTTAAACCCTAGTTGGTAATTTATACCACTTTTCTTTTTTACATTTTCCTAGTTTCTTCCTTTCTTTAGATTCATCTTTACTCAGCTCTTCCATTTTATTTATTTATTTATTTTTTTGGTTTTGTTTGCCTTGGTTTTGTTTTCTCATTAGAAAAAAAAAAAAAAAAAAAAGCCACAGAAACTCCAAGCAAGCAAATTAGAAGGGAGGAAATGCAACAAGTCCTATCAGTTCTCTGCCTCTTGATACCACTCTGAGTCCGGTCAGCAGGTGAATCCCATCCCAGTTACCTTCTCTGCGCTTTCCAATTTGGCTGGCCTAACCTCTTTCCACTCCTCCTACCCTCTCAGTGGTCAGGAAATCCCGGAGCGGTCGTTGCCCTGGAGCCGCTTATGTTTTTAGTAACCAGGAACTGAGCTGATTTTTAAAAATAAATAAATAGCAATCAGGGGCCTTGCTGCAAGGCACCGGTTTGCTAGTTTCCTGCAGGCCAGAAGCGATGCCATCTACACCAACGATCGTCCAAAGATTAAACCTGCCGCGTACAACTTGCTAGATTGAAAATAGGCAGTTGGGCCCTTGGCCGCCTCCTAGGAGTGCTTGCGCGTTGAAATCGGGAGGACCTTCTGCAGTTTGAGCGCGCTTTCTCCGGGAAGGCAGCGGGGTTGAAAGTGCGTGTGGGGGTTTGGATTTCGTACAGCAGCGCAACTGGCCTTCTGCAAGGGCGCTGTGACACCCCTCCCGGGACCCACTTCGGTCTGTTGCTTCTTCGGCTGCTCCAGGTCGGTTTTTCCCGGCGACTCTAGTGTGGCTTCCAAACTTCTGCGCTCCTGGCTCACTTCGGAACTTGCCCCCGCCTCCCACTCGCTTCGCTGGCGCCCTGGGAAGTTGCAGAAGCCACAGTAGTCGCCCAAAGAGCACCCTCGGAGACCGCGGGTGGCCGGCAGCGATGAAACCGTCTTGGCTGCAATACCGTAAAGTCACCGGCGCCGGGGGGCTCGGAGGGCCTTTGCCCGGGTCTTCTGCGGCCCGGGGAGCCCGTGCGGCCCGCATGGCTTTCGTGGCCCCGGGTCCGCGGGGTGGTCTCGGGACCCTGGGCTGCAGAGCGCTGTCCTCGGGCAGTGGCAGCGAGTACAAGACCCACTTCGCCGCCTCGGTGACGGACCCCGAGAGGTTCTGGGGCAAAGCTGCTGAGCAGATCAGCTGGTACAAGCCCTGGACCAAAACGCTGGAGAACAAACACTCGCCCTCCACCAGTTGGTGAGTGACTTCTGTGCCAACCCCAACCCCCCATCCCGGGTAACTTTTTGGGCGCCAGGACCTCCCTGGGACCTGGAATCTGGAATTTTATCACGAAAGAAAATTGAAATTGGAGATGTGTTCAGACCCTTCAATTCGTGTTTCATTTCAGTTTCATAATCCGCTCTCTTGCCTTCTCTTGAGAGACCCTGTTACCTGTTGTGAACCCAATGTCCCATAAACGGGAGATTTACCTGACTGGCAAGGCTCTGCTTGGCACTGGGAATGTTAAGAGGACTAAAACAAGGTCCTGCCTCCAGGGACCGCACAGTCTAGTCCGGGAGACACCAGGTAAACAAAGCAAGTGGTGTAATAAACTAGAATTATAACTAAGTATCCTCACATGGTGGGGAGGGAGGGTTGAGGAAAGACTACAATAACATCACACCCCAGAAAGGGTTGGAAGGATGGGTATGTCTTCTCAAAGTCGACAAGGCCCTAATTATCAAAGTTCGAGAGGGGAACAACAGCTTGAAATGTGACTGAGACAGTGACTGGAAATGATTGTTGGCTGGAGAGGTGTGAGAGGAAGTCGTGAGTCAGGTGCTAGCCTGGGAAGGGATTTATGTACTGTGCCAAGTACCTTGGACCAGATCTATAGTCCTGTTGGGTATATGAAGCTGCATTACGGGGTACCCAGAAAGAGTACAGATAGATATAGGCCAGGTTATGTTAGAAGTCCACGGTAGAAGTAAAGTCTTCTACCTGGAGCTGGAATTATAACAAGGTATAAGCATTATTTTTGTGTCACAGTAAACAGAGACACATCGTAGAATAAATATCAAGCTTGCTAGGATAGTGAGGCTGAAGCACAGTCAGTGGTAATCTCAGAGTGTGGCTCCTTATGTGCCTGTACGCTAAGGATGTGATTGCTTTCATCTGCCAGCCATTAGAGAGAATGTTTCCTGTAAAAGTTTGAAAAATATTCCTCAGCAATGAGGTGAGGGGAATGACATGGTTCGGTTTGCAGTGGACGAATGGCTCTCTGGTCAGAGCAAGGAACCTAAAATGAAATTGGCAAGAACTTGTTCTGTGTCTCCACCATGCCCAGTCCTCTCAGTGTGTGGGGTGACATGGTGTTGCCTTCAGAATCTAAGCATCTTGCCCCTTCATTTCAATTATTTTTTTGATAGTATTTGATCGGTCCTCTTTTATGTGCCAGTGAACAAGGCGTTGGGTGTACAACAATGAGTAAAACCTCCCTGCTTTTTGGAAGTCATAAAGAAAAAAACATGGACTCTGGGGCCAGACTACCTGAGTTTAAGGTCTGCTTCTCACAGTTACTATGTGTTCACAAGCAAGTGACTTAATCTCTCTGTGCTTCACTTTCTGAAATACAAATATGGAAATCATTAGAGGACTGAGTAAAGGATGAAGACTATGTCTTTATTCACTAGACCCTATAAATGTTAGAGGAGGAATAGCTCTCTTTGCATTCTCATACCATAATCATTTTAAGAGCAGGAAACCCTCCTAGTGTTTCTCAGATGAAAACACAGATTACTGCATCACTGTTTCTCAAAGCTCTGTGTACAAATATGTCATAAAATACAGTACTATTAATGATTTTATGTGGCCATCTCCATCATAAACTAATGTGCGGAGAATTCAGTTAAGAAGCCACAGGGATATTCTAAATGAAAAACAGTGAGGGCCAGACCTAAGGCAGGGACGATAAGAATGGAGAAAGACAGTTTGGAGTGATTCGGGAGGGCAATCCGGGATCAGCAAAGGCCCAGGAGAGAGCATTGAAAGTGGGTGTCAATATGCCCAGCAAGTAGAGCTTAAGACCTGGAGATTTCCTTCCCAGTAACTTGCTCTTTCTCTGTAATATCTAGTTGCTTGTTTACGTTTTCTGAAGTTGTGTGTATAAGATGTTGCCTTTAATGAGAATTTTTGTGAAAGGGTCACTATTTTTATAGGTTACTAACATTTGATAACACTGTGTCTGAATTATTTATCTTTTCAGTCTTGAACTCATGCAGCCAAACCTGTCTTATAGTAGCCCAGAAAATCAAAGCGAATATGTGATAAAGCTTTGACTCTATTTCAGCAGCATGATTCAATTTTACCAAGAATTTTGGTCGGGTGAGCTGGGTTGGGAGGGAAGTAGAGGTAGGAAACCAATCTTAAACTTCTATTAGTCAGTAGTTGCGATTCGAATCCATGACTGCATTGGATACCACAGTGAAGATAGCTGACTGGTTAGCAATTTTCTACAAAGCCAAACTCAAGGACAGAGTGAATTTTCTTTTATTTTGTTTGGCTTTATCCCCAAGATCTAAGGCAGAGCTGGCATATAGGTTTTTAAAGTGAGAGCAAACTAACAGGATACATAACTTTGGTGATTTTTGTTGCTATAAAACAAAACACCTCTTTGGGAGGTGATAAGTAGGTTTAGGCACAATTTGGTGTGAAGGAGCTTTACTTATTTATTTTTTTGAAGCTGGGATCTGGAGAATGGAGATATTGATAGCCAAATGCTTAAGCAAAACAAGGCAAGATTGCTATAGCTAATTGTTCTCTCCTCTGTGGAGCTGGCATATGTGTAGTCACAGTCTCTGGTGCCCTTTGGCTTCCCAGAGGCTAGAGGGATTCTTCATTATAAGCTTGTCTGTTTGTTCATAAAAGTAAACTCCCCTCAGAACCCACAGGCTTATCAAAAGCCTCAACACATGAATAGTATTGCGTATTAGCTTTCACGATGGCATAAGCTACCCAATATTTTCTGCATACAGCAATATAGATATTGAATAGAAATCTTTAACGGTGATATATGGAAGGGAACTTTCATTATAGTGAATGACTATTAAATGCATTTCCAGTTTTGTAATTTCTGAGATCTTCAAAAAACAAATCCAAATTATGGGTAGGTGCTTTAGGGAATCACAGATAATTGCCTCGCCTCACAGTTTGGTGGTTCCTGCATATTGTTAACACCTGGCTCTTTGGGTAATAAAGTCTCTATTAGAGAGACTGCAGCAGAGAACTGCAATCATAGCAATTTCTTTAATCCTGGAACAACAAAGCGGGTGTTTCTGGTTATTTTCTCCTGATGGACATCCTGCTGCCTATACTGAAATTGAAATCCAGCTGCCACTCTCTGCAGGCTTAGTCAATTCACTTTTCTATTATGCATTGTGGTTTACTCTCTGGGCCATCAATTTATCTCTTTCTGTGGAAGTATTACAATCCAATTTTAGTCTACTTTTATTTAAACAACATTCAGTGGCTTCTTATATCCATTTGTTTAGAAATCAGTATGGATCAACAATGACTATAACCCCCAAAAAAGAAAAGACTAAATGCATTGTAGATTATTAGAAAATAACTTAAGCTCAAGTAACATTTCTGTAGTGGAAATAGTGTGGGTTTCTCAACATTCAGGATCTCAATTCCTTACTAGCTGAGATTAAGGTTGTTTAATCCTGCCAAGTCTTAAAATAGCTTGTAAGAATTAAAGGACATCAATCATTCACCCACTGCATGTACAGTAGAGAAAATGAAGGAGATAGTGAAGGAACCCACCATATAGCAGCATGGAAGACATGCATTAAATTTTTACAAAAGAAACTAAAATTTTAGATTTAGGGGTACATGTGCAGATTTATTACATGGACATATTGTATGATGTTAATTTTGGGCTTCTGTTGAACTCATCACCCAGATAGTGAACATGGTACCTGGAAGGTTTTTGACCTTGGCTGCCTCCTTCCTTCCCCCATTTTGGAGTCCCCAGTGTTTATTGTTCCCATCTTTATATCTGTATGTCTCCAGTGTTTAGCTCCCACTTGTAAGTGAGAACATGCATATTTGGTTTTCTACATGATGAACACTATTTAGAGTTGCAGTAGAAGCTAGGAAATACAACCTTTATTGGGGGATATAATAGTGTCGTCTTTAGAAGGATCTTGAGAAGGGTCTAGAGGAAATGATCAACTGAGATCAAAATGAGTAGGAATTCACATGCAAGAAGTTGGGAGAAAATTCTGGGGAAAGAAAATAGCATAGGCAAAGGCCATGAGGTAGATATGTTTAGTAAGTTCCAGAAGCTTAAAGAAGGTTTATATGGTTGGGGCTTAAGAAATGGCAGAAAATTACCTTGAGATGGGAAGAGAGAGCCATATTGTGAATGGTCATTTATTTAGGATTTTTAACTTTTTCTTGGCCCGTAATACCTGTCACATAATGCATGACCAAAATATAAATTTCCTATTCTTCCTTCTGCATTGGGTCAATACAGGCTTGAGTTCAATCCTAGATCTGCTGCATACCCTGGGAAGGCTTCAATAACTTCATTTGGAAAGTTAGAATCATGATGGTATCTATTTCTAAGGATTAAATTGGGCGAGGGGAAGCTTGTAAAGCATCTAGGACTGTCCGTGACACATACAACTAGATATGATTATCTTTGGAATATGAAAGAAATATTACCATGAACTAATGTGGTCCAATAAGTTTTGGGGGGGAACTGATAGCATTTAAAGTGAATCTTGAAGTCGGACTTAGAAGGAAAGTCATTTCTGTGCAGGGAACAAGGTGACAACAACATAGAGGTAAGAAAAGCCAGGTGTCCTTAGAGGATAGTTCTAACAGACCAGTTGGCTTTCAGTGGCTCTTCTGAGTTGCTGGGCCTTAACTTCAGAAAATAGTTTCAGCCTGGTTTTAGAAGGCTTAGAGTAGCAAGCTAAGGCTTTTGCAATTACTTCTTAGGCTGCAGGTCACAGCAAGGCTGAAAGCCTGCAGATAGGCTTTGACCTACATGTTTTGTTTGTTTAATTTGCTAGCATTTAAATATTGGAATCTTTTATCTAAAAAATCTAAATTTCCTGTAAAAATTCAGCTTTTGATCTTCTCCTTAAAGAAGAAAAAATGGAATATCCGTCAGTAATGGGTCAGTATTCCTGCAAAGCAACACTTGACTGGAACTGAGGTGCTGCTGACCCTTTAAATGGTCCATG